CACTCATTGTTTACACAGTGCACAGTCATTGTAGGTACGACGGCTAATCAAAATGGTACTTACTTGCGCTTATTCGGATTGTTAAACCGACTTAAAACTAACAGATTACGTTCTCTCGTGCCAACTCATTCGGGAGTGGTGACTTTCCACGTATTCCCAACTTCTGAGCCTGCTCGCCTGAAGCTATGGTTGATTGCTCTTCGGCTGGATATCAATACACCCATTAACGTAAACTACACCAGAGCGCGTACACACCTCACGCACCGGATGCCGTGCGCATGCCCAAAGACAGTTGGACATAGTGGTGTATTAGAGGTAAAAAATTATATAAATACTGTTCGGTTTCTGGACTTGTATGTTTTCTAGTTTAAAAATGTACATCTGACGAACGCAATAATGCACAGAAAACAGAGTGAAAACCGTTTACTTATCTAGCTGTTGAGTTTCAGAGAACTCTGAAAGCGCGCTGCAGGAATCTCTAGTGAATGCTAGCCAGCTGTATAAATGCAAGGCAGTAAGCTCATTGGCTGCATATGCAGCATGAACCAATCAGTTTGTGCCAAGTCGTTTAACTCTCTGAATAGCATCAGTTACGTTAACACCCCGTCAGCCTGTGCCATCTAGAGTTTCATGACTGAACTATATATTTATCAATATAAGAAAAGCGGTCAAATGTCAAAAGTTTCAGTTTTATATTTTTTTGTAATAATATTTGGCAATATTACAGTTTTTACTGTATTTTAGATCCAAAAATATGCATACACTACTGTTCAAAATAATTACGATTTATTGTTTTGTTTTTTTAATGCTCACCAAGGCTGTGTTTATTTGATAAAAAATATATTAAAAACAGTAATATTGTGAAATTATTCTAAAAAGTTATAAAACTGAAACTTTTGACCATTTTGCGAGCTCATATTCGTTTAGAGGCTACATGAAATATTTGTCCTTTTAATAATTCAGTTTTCACACCGCAGGACTAAGTGAACTACAAAAAGATAAAAGCTGATTTGAAATGGTAATAATACTGAAGACAAATCGGACTTTCATATTCATAATTAATGTAAACATTAGGATATATTTTATGCTATTATATTATTTTGTAGATTTATGTGTATATGGTGATATGATAATGTAGTGATATGATTTGTTAATTTGCAAAAACAAGGCCTAATATTACCTCATTTGATGATGCTGGGTTCGAAAATATCAACAAAATCTTTCCGCTTTAATGCACTTGTCAAACTAACAAAAGCAGTCAAAGTTACATTTTTATTTTTATTTTTTTATAATAATATTTGGCAATATTACTGTTTGTATGAATATAATATACTAATATTTTTTGTTATCCAAAACACACACTTCATTTGGAATAATTACTATTTTTGTTGATCTTTTTTGTTTGTTTTTCTTTGTTCACTAAGTATGCATTTATTTGATTAAATAGATAGTAAACAGCAATAATGTGAAGTATTATTATAAAAATTAAAATGAGGACCATCACATTTGTAATTAATTTAAACATTAGGATATATTTTACGCTATTACATTATTTTGTAGATTTTAATGTGTTTGTGGTGCTATTTAATGTATGTAGAAAATCCTTTTATGAAGTGAACTCACTTAAAGAGTTAAGTATAATTTTGCTAGAAAAAGTTTTAGAATTTTTATCATATGTTAATGTATAAAATCTTGTGTAATATAACGTGTGTTTGTTTGTTTGCTGGTTTTTATCGTATTTGTTATACTTGTATTTTTTAAATTGTTTTTGCAATGAAAATAGCCTTACAAATGGTTTTCGAAAGCAAAAATGCTACAAAATGCATAATTTTTCATGAAAGTGTGACAAATAGACACAATATTTTGCATTCGACAGAAAAATTAGTAAGAAACCTATTGGATTTCACTAAGGAAATATGATGCAGGGCAGAGTTATAATAAATGCATATATGTGACCCTGGAGCACAAAAGCAGTGTTAAGTCGCTGGGGTATATTTGTAGCAATAGCCAACAATACATTGTATGGGTCAAAATGATCCATTTTTCTTTTATGCCAAAAATCATTAGGATATTAAGTAAAGATCATGTTTCATGAAGATATTTAGTAAATTTCCTACCGTGAATATATTAAAACTTAATTCTTGATTAGTAATATGCATTGCTAAGAACTTCATTTGGACAAATTTAAAGACGATTTTCTCAATATTTAGATGTTTTTGCACCCTCAGATTCCAGATTTTCAAATAGTTGCATCTCAGCCAAATATTGTCCTATCCTAACAAACCATACATCAATGGAAAGCTTATTTATTCAACTTTCAGTACAAAATTTACCCTTGGCCTTATGCCTGGTTTTGTGGTCCAGGGTCACATATATGTTGATGTTGATGATGATGTGTTGTTTTCAGCTCATCCAGGGAACACAGCAGTGCTCAGTGAACTCTGTGCCACTCTGTCCCGTCTGGCCGTGAGAAACGAGTTCTGTCAGGACATCGTAGACCTCGGGGGCCTGACGTTCATGATCACACTCCTGGCTGACAGTCTGGATCGTCAGGTGAGCTGCTGGATCAGTGAGAGGTTCGGCATTGTTTCCTATGAACACAAACAAATGTCTTGCTGTTGTGATGCGTCTGTCTTCCAGGAGCTTGTGAAGCAGGTGCTCAGCGCACTGAAGGCCATCGCAGGAAACGATGATGTCAAAGATTCCATTGTGAATGCCGGAGGGGCGGAGCTTATCGTCATGGCGATGAACCGTCACATGGCCAGTGCACAGGTGTGTCCTCAGAAGTGCAATAGAATGCCTGTTATTATCTAATTACTGTCCACAAATTCTGAACTGCTTTTAAACCTTTTAGTAAGTTGAAGTGTATGTTTGAATAGTACATTGACTGTTTAATAGTAAATTACTCGTAAATGAGTTTTCATACACTCAACACATTCCTGCTGTTTCCAGAAACATTCAGTAATGTTAATAGACAATTCAGTGTTGGACATACCACCTAAGAATGATATAATTATATGAATAAGAATAAAAAAATGAAATATTAACCCCCGGTTTCACAGACAAGGCTTAAGCTTAATGCCAGGCTTAAAATCTAAGTCTGAGCTGTTTCAACTGAAAGAAACTTGCTCTGACTGACCTTAAAATATATCAGTGCCTTTATTTTGTCTCAAAATGCACACCAGTAATGTTTTTTCTAAGGCACGTTTATAAAAATTACTTAAATGTCCTAATTTAACTATGGCCTAATCCTGGTTTAGTCTAAGCCCTGTCTGTGAAACCAGGCCTAAATGTAGAATTATAAAGTTATATGTTAATAATAAGAACAAAAAAATGAAATATTAAATGTAGAATTATAAAATGATATATTTTGAAATTATTTTTAAGAGTTTTTTTGAATTATAAACATTTTTGTAATTGTTATAACCATATAATTAACAAACAAGTCTTGTTTCCACAAAGAAAATGCATGAAACAAAGTTTGTAGTAATTAGTTATTAATTATATAATCAATAGATTTACATTTCTAGTTATATACACTAGTGTTCAAAAGTTTGAGGTCAGTATGTTTTTTTTTAATGTTATTGAAAGAAGTCTCTTCTGTTCACCAAGGATGCATTTATTTCATAAAAAAGTAAGTAAAACTGTGAAATATATGAGTTACAAAAACAGTCTGTTATGTCTGTGAAGGTAAACTGCTGGGAAATAAATCACATGTTTATTTTAGATCTGTGTGGCAGCAGCAATATACAGTAAATAAATCAGTAAATAAAAGGCTGGGACTCTAAACAGTGTTCTGTGCTCGTCTGTGCAGCCAAACACAGAACAGTTAGTGTGTTTTGCTCAAACTTTCGCCATGGCATTAGAACTAATACACCGTTGTCGCTTGTGAAAACACAATAACGGCGCTGTGGGTGGGAACTTACAGATTAAGGGGTGGTAATATTATAATGAGATCCCTTTGTGACGTCACTAGACGCCCTCGTTTTCTCAGACGCTTGCAGAAAAAGTCTTACCAAAACAAAGTGACTGGGTTCATCTTTTTCACGTTTACTTGGTTGGTAGATGCACCGGGGACCTGATTACAAGCACTTAAAACCTGGAAAAGTCAGATTTTCATGATATGCCACCTTTAAAATAACTGTTTTCTATGTGAATATCTCTTAAATGTATTTATTTTTTGCTGTGATCGAATGGGGTTTTCAGCGTCATTACTCCAGTCTTCAGTGTCACACTTCAGCTCAAAATCACTTGTTAATTGAAACGAGTCTGTTCTTAAACTCTGAAATTCCTCTGAGTGTCTTTTGCTGTGTTTTTGCGCTGTGGGTTCAGGTGTGTGAGCAGGGATGTGCGGCGCTCTGTGTTCTCGCTCTGCGCAAACCCAACAACTGTAAAGTCATCATGGAGTGTGGCGGAGTGCTGGCGGCCCTGCAGGCCATGAAGACTCATCCGGCTGAAGTTAATGTGCAGGTAAACCCACAGTGTGTGCGCTGACTCAAATGCATTAGCAGATGCTTTTATCCAAAGCGACTTACATTGATTGCATTCAAGGTTAAAAAAACTCACAACCTTGGTGTTGCTAGTGCCACGCTCTACTGTTTCAGCTACAGGAACGGGACTTTATTCTTACATAGTAACAGAAAAGTAAAACATTTCACAATTTCCTTTATGCCATCCAAAACTAGGTGAAAATGCATCTCATTTTGCTCTTAAGGCCTGACCAAAAACAATAACTATATTGGTCCTTAGTGTGAAACAAGCCTTTAACTAATAATTTTCTTCTAAATCATTTTTTATTTTATTTTTTCTTACTTTTTCATTTAAAAGTACTTTCTTTGTGTAAATATGCTGTTTTGATAGATTTGTTTATTTTTGTTTATTTTTATTTTATTTATTTTGCTTCTTGGTGAATACTTGATGATGGTTATTATAGTTAACAAATTAAATAAAATATAGATATAAATAAAAAATAAAAAAAATACTAAAAGCATAAAAATATTTGTTGCTTGAAATTAAATTAACTTTAACATAATAAAATAAATAAAAACTTATTTCAGCTTGTTGCCAAGCTACTGATGAAAGACAATTTCAAAGTCTCTCCATCACAGCAATATTTCTTGTTTTCATTTAGTTTAACTTTATGTACTAAAAATCTAAAACTAATAAATTAAAAATAATACAAATATATTTTTTAAGAAAAGGAATAAAAATGACAAAAACACATAACAAAAGTACTAAAACTAATAGAAAATCTAAAATAAAACCTAATTCTAGTTTTATAACAATATTTGTATTATACTAAAAGAACTCTAGCTCATATATAGTGATTTGAATAAAACTTTTTTATATATTTGCTATAGATTTTGATAGTCAATTTTTTATTACTATTATTATTATTATTGTGTTTTTTATATCTTTATTTTTTGCTTCTTGAGAAACTACAGAAGAGGATTAAGGCCAAGTAATAATAAAAAAATAAAACCATCTCAAGATTAAAGTCATTCAATTTTATTTCGACTTTTTTTCTCAATTTAACAACTTTTTTCTTGTAATTTAATGAGTTTATTCTCAACATGTTATGCCGACTTTTTTCTTAAAATTACCTAGTTTTTTCTTTAAATTTAACGACTTTTTTTCTCATAATTTAATGTGTTTTCTCAATTTTATTCCGACTTTTTTCTCAAAATGTAACAACCTTTTTCTCGTAATTTAATGAGTGTGTTCTCAATTTTATTCCGACTTTTTTCTCAAAATGTAATAACTTTTTTCTCGTAATTTAATGAGTGTGTTCTCAATTTTATTCCGACTTTTTTCTCAAAATGTAATAACTTTTTTCTCGTAATTTAATGAGTGTGTTCTCAATTTTATTCCGACTTTTTTCTCAAAATGTAACTACTTTTTTCTCGTAATTTAACACGTTTATACGCAACATTTTATTTGGACTTTTTCTCAATTTAACGAGTTTTTCTCAAAATTTAACGACTTTAATCTTGAGATGGTTTTATTTATTTTTTTTATTGCTTGGCCCTAATCCTCTTCCATAAGAAACACTTTTACAAGCCCTTTTGGCCTTTTTTTGTTTTCTTTGTACTTCTGTTCCCTTTGTTTTCTGAAAAAATAAATAAATAAAACAAGCGTCTAAACAAGTATTCCTGTCTTCCCTGTTGTTTCTGGAAACCAAACCAGCCGCTACTTGTATTGTTTAATGAAATTCTTTTAGTGACTACACTCTCCTGTTTCCCGCTGTTCCAGAAACAGTCCTGCATGCTGTTGAGGAACCTGGTGGCCCGCACACGAGACTTCAGCCAGCTCATCCTGGAGATGGGAGCCGAGGCGCTGATCTCGCAGGCTCTGGCGGCTCACAGAGACTGCGGCGACGTGGGTCGAGCCGCTCTCAGAGACCTCGGCTGCCAGGTGGAGCTACGAGAACTCTGGACGGGCAAGAAGGGAAGCCTGAGTCACTGATGAATGTTGCCAAACGTCTGTAAACTCAACACAATCACGATTAAATCATACGACAGCATGTCCTAACTGTGGAGCTCATACTAACTCTATGTGATCAAACATCTTCCGGTAGAATCGAAGTGCATCTGACGTCCACATGCATAGGATGCATTACAGGTTACGGTGTATGTATGTTTTTTTGTTTTGTTTAACTGGTGCTTTCAAACGATTAATCGCGATTAATCGCATTCAATGTATATATTTACACATATATGTAAATATATACACATGCATGTATATATTTAAGAAAAATGTTGTTTATATAATAAATATATTTATATATAATATAAAATACAAGAATATAAATGTATATGCATTTAAATATTTCCAAAATATATACTGTATGTGTGTGTATTTATATATACATTATAAATATACACAGTACACATAAATGGGTCAAAGACGAAAAAGGTTCAAGCATAAAAACAATAAATGTAATGCTGCTTTAAATTGTTGTTGTTTTTCCCCCAAATTTTTTTTAAAGTTTTCTGTTTAATTTAATTGCAATTTTGTGTTTGTTTTTCCGAGCAAAAATAAATATCATACATTTTTCCCTGATTTACAGAAGAGACCCACTAAAATGTCATTCAGTGTAACATTATCGTCAGGCATATTTACAACAAAAATCAATTTATGACTAATTACTAAAAGACTAATTACTTTCACCCCAAATACTAATTAGTTGTAATTTAACATTTTTTAAAATGTGCCACTATCCTAGCTTTTGCCCGTTTGTCAGTAAGAATTTGTACTCATTTAAAACACAATAAAATTTAATATGCTCCCTTATTCTTTTATATATTTTAATATGTACACGTCAGAATAAGCATGTTTGAATTTTTACATAAATATTGTGTTGCACTGAATAACAACGTAACATTATTTCAACCAAATTTTAACATTTATTCTCCAAAAACTTATTTGAAACCTTAAAAGTAGACGCTTTACTTACATTTAATGTGCTTTCTATGGACATATAATCACTTTTGTAAATTTATTTTGATGCGGGCATCTTAACGTCTTTGACCCACATATATATTATGTAAACAACAACTTTTATTTTGGTTGCGATTAATCACGATTAATCGTTTGACAGCGCTAGTTTAAACATTTTATTGCCACTATTTATGGTTTGTATGAGGTTTTTTACCCACGAATGTCCACTGTGCTCGGTCTGGATTCATTTGAGCTGATGTTGACAGCGAGAATCAAGTGTACTTAATTCAGAAGTGCACTGCTGGATTGTCACACTGTGGCCGTTTTACCCTTAATAATATATTTAATCTAAAGACCATCACCCTGCCTGTTGAATGTGCATTCACTGCAGTGCGTTTCATGCTTATTTTTAACATTCCAAAGTGTTTTTTTTCTTAATGCGAATACCCTTTCATGCACAAAATATGAGTCACAAGTGTTTTCTGTGTTGCAATATTAGCTGAAGCTCTGATTAAACCCGCTCTGTTCTAGAACTGATAGTGTTTGTGATTAAATCAAGCAGCTCTAGACTGATGTGTCTATATTACACACTGACCATAATATTCCCTTACAAAAATATACCGTACATTTATACTGAAATATCATTTATAGTTGCAACTGTAAAATCATAATACATTAAAATATCTAAATGCAATAATATATATAGTATAATAGGCCTTCAAAATATTTAAATTTAATTTTAAAGTTTAGCTTTTATTTCATTTTTATTTAATGCACATTTTATAATTATAGTAACAAGTATTTTGGTAGAAATGATCATTGCTTTGATAACTTTTTAACTTTTTTTCTGAAAAGGTATCGTGGTTCAGTAGTGGTCTTAGATATTAATACACAGAAATATGCCATACTAAAATTAAAACCATAAATTATTTTTGTTACTTAAAATAAACATTAACTGAACTAAAAATATAGAAATATAAAAAAATATTTATAAAATATAAAAAACTTAAACTTATGTTAGTTTAAAGTTTTTAGTTTAGTTTAATAGTTTTACAGTGTATTATTTTTTGTATTTTAATTTAGTTTAACCATGATGTAATAATTAAAAAAAATAGACATTTCTAAAAAAAAAAAAAAAAACCTCAAAAAAAAAAAATTACCTACAATGAAAAAGTGAAATAAAAGACATTAAATATAAAATAAAAAATAATTTAAATATTAATAGAAACAATGCTACATTTACAAAAATGACAGTTATTTAGATATGTAGTCCTAAATGGTACTACTGTTTTTTTAAATATTGTAAAATGTTCTATGTACTACATAGTACAGTACTGATACTGTATATCAAACTTCAATGGTACCAAAGTGTTTTTAAGTACCGGTATTAGTTTCTGCAAACGAGTAGTGTTTCAGCAGTGCTTTAAATAAATATATAGTCATTATTATGATCTGATTACCAGATACCATAGTAATTATATGGCACACCCTGGCATTATCATCGCATCGCGTCCATACCATAATACTTCACACGTGAACATAAAATATACACCTTTCTCGCTCAGTGTTGCCAACTAATTTTCAGGGGAAGTTGCTAAAGGCAGATCCGTTTGTTGCTAAATGTCATTGTGATGTCATTGCGTGATGACGTCATTGCATAACCATGACACAAAACAGCGTTTTTACGTAGAATACACAACGAGATTACTCAAATCAGCGAAAAATATATTTTTTAAGTGTTATTTGTTCATAAAGATATTATAAACATAATATTTTAATTTGTAAAAGTAACATAAGTAGCACATCTTTATGATCGGATTTTTTTTTTTTACTACATTGAATTATTGAACAGTTACACATTTTATGTATTTTAATATTAACTAGTAAAACTGCACATTCTGAACAATTATAGTTTTAAGCAGTGTACTGGTAGTTAGTTAGTGTGCTACACAAAAGTCTGTAAAAATAGGACACAATGTACTGTTTATATGAAGGAACAATACGTATTTATCTTTCCACATATTTTTTTCTTACAGTGTACCTAACTGAACAACAATTATATATACAAGCTAATAACATGCTGTATCATAAATGTGCATTTATTATTGACCAATTGGAACTAGCAACTTAATGCATATTTGGTGTTTGTACTGTTAGGCATCTTTCTCCAGCTTTCTCCAGGTTGATGTGCTGCTTGGCTGGCTAGCTGTTCAATGGTTTCCTCTTTTTGTGTAATTTAGATGAAAATATGTGCCTTTTTTATCATTCGAGTCACTTTGCAAAAGTTGCCAAAAACTTTTTAAAAATAGCTACATTTGTTGCGAGGTGCTTTTTGAAAAAAAAGTAGCTAGGGTAGTTTGAAAAGTTGCTAAATCTAGCAACAAAATTGCTAAATTGGCAACACTGTTCTCGCTATTTCTGGCTTATTCTCGCTAAAACTCCAAACCCCACCCTTTCTACTAATTACTCCCCTCTAACGAGCCTATCCACGTCAGGCGTGCTTCCGCTCCGGACTACAACTCCCACAATGCACCGGGTCTCGCCCTTCAACGCTCGCGTGCTAGTGTGACAGCACCACCTCAGACGCGTGAAGCGCGCAAAGCAGCTCAAAGTCACAGCAGCAGCAGTGAAAGTGAAATAAAATGTGTTTAACCGGCTTTCCTGCAAAACGGACGCCTGCAGCCGCGCGAGCGGGTTATTAATATGGATGGTGACTGACTGGCTGCCTGCTGTTTATGTAAGTGGATGGTGACTGGAGTTTATCACTTCATCATATGTTTGTTTATGAGCTTAGCAGACCAACAGCATGGCAATGTTTGAGCAGATCGTCTTCAGATTCCGCTAAAGTCGGTGTTTTTCTCCTGATTTCACGCAGAGAGCTACAACAGGTGCTGTCAGACAGTCAGGTAAGCGAGAGCTCCGTTGAAATGTCATGATAACAGTTGTTTTGCTAACAGGCTAAAAGGCTAAAGCACTTTGATACTGATATTGAGAAATGTGTCATGAGTTAATCTGAGTAAATATTTAATAACGGACGATTTCATTTGACGTAATTAAGCTAAATAAACAATCATGGTGTGTTTCACACACACAAAAAACCTATTGATGTTGGAAAAGTGTTTTATATTTGATAGGTTTACATCGTCAAACTTAATCCTTGGTTGTAAATGAATCTGGTGTGATGTATAAATGAGCTTTAATGTTCTGTTGACAGGTATGTTGTTTACTTGGTAAGCTGTTTGTCAAAATAGACAGCGTAATGATTATGACATGTTTCATAAATATGTGTTTAGGTTGGTGTTGATTAGCTTGGTTTTATTAAACACAATACTGTTTTAATGCTTGAAAAAGTATGTGATGTTTAATATATAATATATATATGAGATTACATTATACTTATAAGAAACCAGACTGAGGTCTAGGGGTATGTAGGAAAGTTTAGAGACAAAAAAATGTCTTAAGAAAATAAAAAGAATATTAAGCCAAATAGACATGAATAATTTTTAAATTGCATGCATTAATGGCATATAAATAAATACTATATATAAATATTTAATTTTTTAATAAATTAGTTCATGCATTAAAATAATGGAAAAAAGAATAAAAAATAGACTAAATTAAATATTAAAATAAATAATGCATCTACCAGTACAGTACTATAGTGAGTTTTTTAAAGTAAATATTAAGCCAAATAGACAATATTTTTTTTAATAGCATGCATTAATGACATGTAAATGTTATATATAAATATAAATGTTTTATTTTTTAATAAATAAATAAATTAATTAAAATAATGAAAAAATAAAAAGACTAAATTAAATATTAAAATAAGTAATGCATCTACCAGTACAGTACTATAGTGAATTTAAAAAAAATAATGTCATAAAAAGTGGATGAAAGAACATCACCTACAGCTCAACCTGCAAAGACTGAGCTTCTTGTCTTCCCTGCCACTCCAACTCTACAGTATGATTTCTCCATCCAGCTAGGTTCTTCTACAATTACCCCATCAACTTCGGTCAGAAATCTTGGTGTAACTTTTGATAACCAACTGACCTTCAAAGACCACATTGCAAAGACCGCTCGATCTTGCAGGTTTGCATTGCACAACATCAGAAAGATCAGGCCCTTTCTAACGGAGCATGCTGCACAACTTCTTGTCCAGGCCCTTGTCATCTCTAGGCTGGACTACTGCAATGCTCTTCTGGCTGGACTTCCATCAAGCACAATCAAACCTCTACAAATGATTCAGAATGCAG